GGAGGGGAGGGGTGGGGACTGGGAGAAGGAGGGGAAGGAAGGGTCAGGAGGAGAGGCAGGAATGGTGAGGAGGACAGGGAGGGTCAGGAGGAGTGGGAGGGTCAGGAGGAGAGGAGGAAGGATGGGAAAAGAAGCTCCTGAGACTCAGTGTTGCCTGGTAGTTCATCTCAGAGCTGCTCTGGCTTCTCATGCACACCAGCATGCATGTAGAAGGAGGCTTCAGAGGGGGTCACCATATCCAAGACACCAAGGGCCCCACCTGCTTTCCTGCCCCTCCCTGTGATGCCATGGGACTCCCACTTATCCACGGTTCGCCTTTCCCAAGAGTCACCTTCACGACCCCTGACCCCTCCACCCAGCACAGCGCCACCCCACTCGGTCTCCTTTGCTCCCTCTTCAACTCCTGACAAGGTGGGGCAGCACTCCCCAGCTCACCTAGAGAGGAGTTGGCCCAGGAGCTGAAGCAACTGTTGTTGGCATTCTCTGGACACTCAGAGGCTGTGGTGTTGGCACAGAACTGTGTAGAATTACACTGAATGCAGTCCAGGGACTCTGAGGAGGGAGACACGAGCGTCAGTCAGCACACAGCAGACACATGTGGAGCAGACTCCACGCCCACCTTGTGCTCATGCTCATCGTGGGGTCAGAAATGTGGATGGGAGGGCATTTCTGCCTCTCAGGGCTCGCCAGAGTTGGTGGTGTGAGGCAGGGCTGCAGGAACATGGCCAGGAGTGAGTGATGGAACCGGGGCAAAGCGCACAGCTCTATGAGGAGCGAATGGTTAAAATACAGGGCAAAAGCACACAAAAACTACGCCGCAAGGCCAGAAGGGGGAAGCTCTGTGAGAAGCAAATGATTACACTGCGGGGCAAAAGCATGCAGGCTTTGCAAGGAGTGAACAGCTCAGTTATGGGGCAAAAGCCGGGGGAGAGCCCAAGGCGTAAACCAGGAGCTTAGATCGGTGCCAGGTGTTGGGTCTGGCCTCCTCCTTCTCTCCCCCAGGCAAAACCACCCAGCCTTGAGGCAGCTCCTGCCCAAACTACTTCTCTCCTGCTTTGTTCTCTTTCACTGAGATTCTAAATAACAGCCAGGGAGCTCTCAGCTTGGGGACCCTGTTCTCCAGTCTTCCTGGGGGCTGGGCGTGCTCAGTGGAGAAGCAGCCCCTCTGGGCCTCCCGGTCACTGAGTCAGGTCTCATCTCTGGGTAGTTGTCACACCAGTGGGGGCACACTGCGGCAGAGCGCCACAGCCACAACTGCCTCCCCACTGTTCACTGGTCCCCAGCAGGAAGAGCCAACGGGACCGAGGACACACAGCAACCTCTCTGAGTGCAGGGCGCCCAGGTGGGTCTCATGCTCTCCACTGACCACACCATGACCCCAGCAGCCTTGTGAGGAGCCTTCCGGGCACCCTGAACAAGCAGGCTCAGTAAGGGGTACAGACAGGTCTTTGTTCCAAAGGGGCCACATGGCTTCTCTTACCTACAGCTGTGACTGCCAGCGCTGAGATGATCAGGGCAATGAGGACACCTCTCATGGTGCTGGAGCCGACTTCTCCTGACCGTGGGGAAGCCTCGAGCCTGAAGAGACACACAGCAGTCATCCTCAGAGGCTTGCAGGAGGTCCTGTCGCCCCGAGGAGTCTTGATCCCACAGCAGCATGCCCAGTAGCCAGTCCATCTTTGCGACAGAAAGAATCCCAATCTTGCCGGAGAGCACAGAGCTGCAGTTTAGATTCCACCATGCCTTTACACAAGGTCTGAGTTTCCTAATCTCCTGCAGAAATCTCCACGCACAGACTAGAAACACAGCTTGGGGCATTTTCTGTGGAGCCCTTCAGCTATAAAAAGGGCAGTAGACCAACGTCCGGTGCCACTGAGGGTGAGACCTGTGTTAGTTAGATATATATTCCTGGGACAAAATTCTGAAGATAATCAAATGTCAAGGAGGGAAGATATATCTGGATTCACGGTTTCAGAGGTCTCAGTCCATGGTCCCTGGCCCCGTTACTCTGAGCCTGGGCCACATTATGGTGGGCGCGTACAGACAACGAGGCCTGTTCCCCTCCTGGCAGCCAGGAAGCACAATGGAGACCGAGGAGGTTGCCTTGGTTCCTGATGTCCTTCTTGTCATGCCCCCAAGGACCTTACTTCCTTTGACCAGGCTCCGCCTCTGAAAGATTTCACCTCTCTCAATAGCACCATCAGCTGGTGACAAACCTTCAGCGTTCATGGGCCTGTGAGGGCTTTTAACACCCAAAGCACACAAGATTCAAGGGAAAAGAGCCGGTCTGGGTCTGTGTTCCCCTCTCCTCTCCCAGAGCACAAAGCCCGTCCTGCCGCTGGTATCTCTACACACGTACAGTGTGCGCTCAGGGTTTTCTTACTGCCACCGCCACCACATGCAGACACCCGCTGAGCACTTACTGTGTTCCAAGACCACACGTGTATTAATTTGTGCCACTCTCCCTCCTCTGCAGGCAGGCACTATTATTAGCACTGAGATGAAATCAGTCCCCCTAAGGGTGAATGCTGCAGTCAAATCAGGGTCTCAATCCAGAGAGGTGTCAGAGCTGAGGCATGGCCCAGGCCCCCAACCACCAGTCCACACTGCTCCCCAGCAGAAGACCACTCTCAGGACCCAGGGCCTGGACATGTGCCGTCTATAAAGCAGAGTCAGAGGCAACTCTGCATGCTGACCCTGTGTCACCAACCGCTCCAAACCTTGCATTCCATGCCTGCAGGTGGTCTGAGCGACATCTTTGAGGGTCACTACATTTTCATCGTATTCATTAGAAGCCTAAGTTTCAGCTTGTAGAATTTCACTTTACCTGTGTCAAGCAGCAGAGAACAAATATCCGGCTCTGTGCTGGGCCCTTCTGAGTTGATATAAGGATAAGTGGTGGCCGCAAGCCACACATGGTGACCTGAGTTCGTGCCCTGGCATTAGGTGACAAGAAACATCCTGTGCGCAGCAGCTGCACGTGGCTGGTGGCTGCCACGGCGGCCAAGGCAGGGGCAGAGCATTTCCGTGACTCCCCAGAGTCCTACTGGCCAGTGTCCCGCCCACGCCACAGGAAGGGAAAGCAGCCTCCAAGAATAAAGGAAGCTCCTGAGCTCACCCGACTTGGGAAGCCCAAACCAGGAACCAGGACACCTTTCCAGGGTCTCCAGCCCCACAACCCAGCCACACCCTAAGAGCTGCCACATACAAAGTGGAAGAAACCTTCACTGGACAGTGGCCACCCTCATCCACTCCACTGCACACGTGCACAACACACGCACCGCATGTTCCACACATGCACACCACATATGCACACCACAAACCATTAAACCACACGCCTCACCTACCGTGTCCACTCACACGCTACATGCCACTTATCCACACACACTCAGGTGAGAGCGAGTGCCACTTACACTACACACCTCGCAGATCACACACATCCACACTCGCACACACTGCATGCCTTGGTTGACCCCTAGGAGCCTCTAAAGAGGCTGAGCAGTGGGCCATGGCGGAGGAGGACTTCGGGGAGATGTCCAGTGGCCCTGGTGCTTAGAAAGCCAAGGAGGAAAGGGAGGGACCTTGTTTGGGGCTGGGACGCACAGACCCTGTGCTCCCACACTCCAGGACCTCCCCCTGCTGAGAGGGGAGAGGGTGTCACAGGCTGGGCTTACTAGTGTGAAAGAGGAAGGGAAAGGAGAGAGAAATGAGAGTAGGGAGATCCTAGCCTCCACTCAGCCTCCCCAGGGAGACCTGATGACTGGCCTCAGCCTTTCTGGAAGCTGAGGGTACAGCCAGGGTACAGAGCAGAGAGACAGAGTCCAGACGTGGGGCCCGGGGCCCTGCACAGAGCATACGAAGCGGCTCCTGTACATCCCTGTCCCTAAGAACACTTGCCCCGTGCAAAGTTCCATCATCAAATCTTCCAACCATCTGGCAAGGTCCAACCAAAATTGCTCTCTTCTTACGGGGAAGCCGAGCTCAGAGAGATCTGGAGTCAGCAGAGCAACCAGGTGACACCTGGCCAGGTCCTCAACCCTCACTCCCTGCGCCGCAGCCTCCCTCTCCTGCCCCAGCCAGGGCGGGACTGGGGGCCCTGAGGGCCTCTCCGGGCCGAGGGCCTCTTACCTCTGGGTCCAGCCCGGACTCTGTTCCACGCAGGAGGCTCTGGCAAAGGACCGGCCAGGTGTAGCCAGGCCATATATAGCAGGTGGCTGGGAGGGGCCTCCGCAGATGCCCCAGCCTCGGACTGGCAGACAGTGCCCCACCCAGCCCAAGACACAGGCACTTAGCTCTGCAGGTCTGTGCGGTCAGTGCCCTGTCTACGGCTCTGGTCAGGGTCAGAGCTCAGGAAGCGGGTGGCTCAGAGAGCAGGGAAGCTGGTGGGTGCCGACCCCGCCTCACCAAGCTCTGCCTCCGGGCCAGATGGGGAAAGCCACTCCCTGCCCACAGTAGGCGAGGGTCTGTGATGAGTGAGCTCCATGTGCCACTCGAGGGTGTGGCCATCACCGTCCGCGTCATGGTCACGGTGGTGTGTTCCGCTGGGCAGCGTGGGCAGCCCCATGGGTCAGAGCCCACTTCTGGCCCACTGAGACCCTTGCGGGTATCCTCACATTGCGCCGTGGTGTTCCCAGCCTCCACCACAGACACGTGGGAACACACATCCATGTCCTTGTGCACAGGCAGAGGGGAGGTGCGAATCTCTCTGCCCTCTCCCTCCTACGCGGAAGAGCAGGGTGCACCTCGCCCTATATCCCAGCCTGCACTGAAACTTCGAAGATCCTGGCCTTTCAGATAAACACCCCTTGGCCACTAGCGACCCCAGCCTGTGCTCGCCTGTCTCCCCTCGCGGTCTCATGCATTCTTTTGAAAACATTTTCTTTAGTGACCCCAAGTGCCAGGCCTACCCAAGGCATTTACAAGGTGAAGCCAGGCGTGGTGGCACACACCTGTAACCCCAGCGCTCAGAGGCTGAAGTGGGAGGATTGCAGGGAGTTCAAGGCCAGCGTAGGCTACACAGTAACTTCAAGGGGACTCTGAACTTCTCAGTGAAACCCTGCCTCAAAAAAAAGCCCTGGTGAGTGAGGCCATAGGACGAGTGAGTGGAGTGAATGGGCAGATTAAAGGGGAGGTCAGAATGGGGTTTGCAGAAAGACAAAGAGCAGGTTGAGGCACTATCTGGGTGCTGGGGGCAGGGTTCCATTTTAAACAGAGGAGTTGAGACTGTCTCAATGGCGAAATTTGAGTCATCTTTAAATTTTTTATTTTTATTAGTCATGTTGCAGTACGGAACAGCAGTTGGCACACGGAAATGGCGCGTCTCCACTCTGCACTCCTCCCTTCTCCCTCCTCTCCCTCCAGCTCTCTGTCCCCCTCCCATTTGCAAAGCATCCCAATCCCTGAGTCCTGTCCTCTAGCTCTTTTGCTCTTTGATTTACTGACACATTGGATTTCTCATATAAGAGGAACCATGTGCTGTTATACTTGTGTGCCTGAGTTACCTAACACTATGGTCTCAAGGTGCATCTCTTTCCTACCAGTGACTCTACTGTACCTTTCACTGCGGCAGAATAGTGCACCAGGGTGTATGAATACTACTTTTGCTTTATCCATTCATCAGCTGATGGATCTGTGGGCTGCTTCCAAGATGTAGTTACAATGAGCTGTGCTGCTGTAAACGTGGCTGTGCATGGGTCACCGTAACACTGTGTTTAACTCTTTCCAGAAGATACCTAAAAGGAGAAGATCTGGGTCAAACAGAAATCAGAATAGGAATCCCAAAGAAACCAAGAATGAGTCATTTTTCAGGAGCAAAGTTCTGATAACGTCTCATTGCCTCTTCTGCGAACCAGGCCCTCAGGCTGCTCACTGCAGCGCTTCCCAGGCCAAGCCAGTGCCCCGCTGAGAGCCTCGTGCTCCACCCCACTCCCGGGGTTTCTTCACTCCAGCTGCCTGAGAGCGTGGGATGTGGGGTGCGGGACAGCTGCAGCCGGCAGTGAAGTCCCGCTCACGTGGCCCCCCCTCACTGCAGGAGACTTGAGTGCCCACACCTGGGGGACCCCAGGGTCGGGCTGAGGCTGGCACAGGAAAAGCAGGCAATTCGTGTTAACTCTTCTTAGAAAGTACAGAGACCCAAGAACACACAGAAAGGCTCTGAACCCAGTCTCTGCCCCCTCACACCGTGTAAGTGACTTATTAACCTTGCATGTGGTCATAGCTCCCCATCTGTAAAATGGGAGCATCCAGCCCTGAAATCATGCCTGCGATTATTATGCTGCGCCCACTGTCCCCGGAAGGCCAGCAATCAGCAGTGCTAAGGGTGGCTGATCACGTGGGCCTGACTAACGTGTGTTCTCTCAGTCAGGGCCCCTCCCCGGGAGCACTGGAGGCCACAGCTGTCATCCCCATCCCCATCATTGGTCCTGTTCATCTCTGCGTGAGGCTCTGTGATGACCGGAACTCCAGACATCGCAAAGGAAATGTGCGTGTCCTGAAAGATAAGGTCCCCAGTGGTCCATGATGCTCCCAGTCTTTCAAACTAGAAAAGCA